TGAAGTTGATGATATCGATATTGAAGATGATATCGACGTTGATGTTTCGATCGCTGCTGGTGTTGATGCCACAAATTTTAATGTTGTTGTAGGCACTGGAGTGTCTGAAGTTGACAATATCGATGCTGAAGATGATATCGATGTCGATGTTTCAATGGCGGCTGTTGATGATGTCGCATTCTTGAATGATGTTGCAGCCACTGTAGTGTCTGAACTTGATAATGTCAAGGATAAAGTTGATATCGACGTCGATGCTTCAATCGCTGCTGTAGATGATGTAACATCTTTTGGTGTTGTTGTAGACACTGGACTGTCTGAAGCTGACAATAAAGATGCTAAAGACGATGTCGACATTGATGTTTCAATGGCTGCTGTTGATGATGCCACATCTTTTAATGTTGTAGTAGGCACTGGAGTGTTTGAAGTTGATAATATTGATATTGAAGATGGTATCGACGTTGATGTTTCAATCGCTGCTGGTGTTGATGCCCCATCCTTTAATGTTGTTGTAGGCACTGGAGTGTCTGAAGTTGACAATATCGATGCTGAAGATGATATCGATGTCGATGTTTCAATGGTTGCTGTAGATGATGTTACATCTTTTGGTGTTGTTGTTGTAGGCACTTGGGTGTCTGAAGTTGATAATATTGATATTGAAGATGATATCGACTTTGATGTTTCAATGGCTGCTATTGATGATGTTACATCTGTTAATGATGTTGTAGGCACTGGAGTGTTTGAAGTTGATAATATTGATAATGAACTTGATTTCGATGTCGATGTTTCGATTGCTGTGGTAAGTGAAGTTGCGTCGTTTTCCTTAGCTGTTGTTGTCAGTGCTGGTGTAAGTAACGATGATATTGTGGATTTTGAAGCTGATGTTTCAATGGCTTCTGTAGATGATGTTGCATCCTTTAATGTTGCTGCTGTAATCACTTGAGTGCCTGAAGTTGATAATATCAATGTTGAAGATGATATCGACATTGATAATTCAATGACTGCTTTTGATGATGTTACATCTTTTGATGTTGTTGTTGGCACTGGGGTGTCTGAACTTGATAATGTCAATGATGAAGTTGATATCGACGTTGATGTTTCAATCGCTGCTGTAGATGATGCTCCATCTTTTAATGATGTTGTTGGCACTGGAGTGGCTGAAGTTGATGATATCGATGTTAAAGATGATATCGACGTTGCTATTTCAATGGCTAATGTTGATGATGTCATATGATCTTTAAATGTTGTTGTAGGCACTGCATTGTCTGAAGTTGATAATATCGATGTTGAAGATGATGTCAACATTGATATTTGGATCGCTGTGGTTTGTAAAGTTGCATCTGTTACCGTTGGTGTTAATGTCGGTTGTGTTGAAGCCGCTGTTGCTACGGATGTTGATATTTCGATAGCTGCTGTTGTTGTTTTCATCACTTGAAATGTGGAAATGTTCGAATTTAGTAAGACAGTTTCTGATGTCATCACTGGAGAGGCTGTTGGTGTTGTAGTGGTCG